GTCATGGCATAGACACGTCCCGAATAGTAGAACAGCAGTTTGAGGTGTCGGTTGACTCTCTGGATAGTTTCTGGCAATATGTCCCCACCGGTGGCATCGAAAGCACTCCCAGCATTGCCCCGCATGCCTGCCCCCGTATCTGGGGTACGGTCTAGTAACACTCGGGGTAGTCACTGATGAATCTCGACGGGAGCCCTGTCCCCCGCCAGTTTGATTGTTTAGATTCTGACGCCTTTGCATAAAGCCCCTTTGAGCGTTCGACCTCTGATTCTGCCCTTGATTCTTGTTTCTCCCTGAGCTACCCGAGCTCCCAGAGCTGTACTGACTCCTTTTCCCCACTCCTCCTGTAAGACCAGGATAACAGGCTGTTCTAGCTTGGTTCTTAGCCCTTTTTGCCTCTACTACCTCTCATGTCCTTCTAGCTGCGACCCGCAACTTCACACACATCTCCTCAAAGGTATTGACCTCTAACAGGGCCAACTGCTGTTTCAACTCTGGCCTTGCACGATTCATCAACTATTGAGCTAGCCAGAACGAATGATCTTCTGTCTTCCTGGGCACATACTTTGCCAAGTCTATAAACCTTGTGATAAATTGATCCTCATGCATCTCTCCCTGCTTCAAGGAGTAGAACAGGAATTGCTAACTCCTTCAGAAAGAAATGATCATAGAACATCTGCTTGAAGGTATCCCAGTCTAACTGAGATATATCAGAAGGTCTTGCACTATCCCATCAATGTCTTCCTTGCTCCACAAGATAAGTGACCGCTACTTATACCTTGAGCGGGGAAAGACAAGGAACAACAATAAAGATTGTCTCCATCCACTCAATCCACTTCTCTGCATCTGACGGTTCTAAACTTCCCTTGAACTGTGGAGGATCATGACGATGCACCTCTCTCCATACCTTGGTGATGTCATTCAGTAGTGGAGGGTAAATCACTCCCTCTAAAGTATCTCCTCCCTGGCTAACTGCTCGATACTCCTCCCTCTGAGGTAAGTCTCCAGCTCGATCACCACCTCTAAACCCTCTTTCTCATTCTCCTTATGCCTCCATAGTCACCTCGTTCTCTCAGTCCTCTTGATTGATCGACTCTTGATGCTTCCTCGTGAAGTCTTCTTCAAACTTCCTCAATCTTTCATCCACCACTGTTGTCATCATCTCCCTCATTTGTCTCAAAAGGCCTCATTTCTTGAGGCGGTCCGTTACCAACTGGATCTGTCTGACGTGTCCGTACCATCCTTCCTCTCCCCAACTAAGGATGGAAACCCTCATTAGTAAAGAAAAGAAAGGAAACACAAAACAAATAGAGAAGGTATGTATGAAGTCTGTATATTGCCACTAGGAAAAGAAACAATTTCAAAGAAACGAACTGGCTCTGATACCAATTTGTAAAAACCTTCACCTCAAAACAATATAAACTCGTTATAAAATCACTACTATGGTAGAAAAGGAAAGCTGTTACAACAAACTACCATAGTAGAAAGAAATTGCGCAATTTTTGAAATTAACATTCAAACTCGAGACAAACCCAAACTCTATTGCATGCAACTAGAAATCATTCATTAATATCCACTAGGCCTCTGAGCCTCCAGCTCGGATAACAAAAGACATCAACATTAGCCCATCCAAATGGTTTCCAAGAAAATAAAACAAAGTTTCACAAGACACTAGAAATGGCCTCCGACCAACCCAAAATAAGGAGATAACATTCCCTCCAGTTTACAATAAGGCTGGGCAATTAAAATATTTCAAAAGGGATCCTAAATGTGGCAATATATACTAGCCATACATATACAAGAGTTAGAGGCCTAAAGCTAACCAAGCTCAAGCCTCTACGTCTTTTCCCGATGGCACATGCGTAGAATCTTCACCTGAAACATTGTAAACCACGGGGTGAGACAACGTCCCAACCAACCTTTCCAATTCAAGGTACTACTAAATAGGTGCTCGTGAGGTGTCAAGTGGAGCAGTTCACAAGTAATATGATAAATGATAGCCACACAAGTCATGCAAGTGCAATGATGCAATCCCATCAACCATATCCCTCACTTTGGGGGATTTTCAAGAGCCAAACCCGGCCTATCCCTCACTATGGGGGACGTAAGGAGCCATAAAAGGCCTATCCCTCACTCTGGGAGACGTAGGGAGCCAAAAGGCCCATCCCTCACTATGGGAAACGTAAAGAGCCAACCATTATGCATTAATGGAGGCCTTACCACGTGGTAGTAACAATCAAAACTCTCACCAATTCCCAATTAATACATCATGTTCAAACTGTAATCAAAGAGTAAATGATCATTTCACAATTAACTTCTTTCAGTGGCCTATCTTTCACAAGTTCTAGATTCAATCAATATCAATTTAAACCCCACAAGACGGTTTCCTTTTCAATATACAACATACACTTTGAACATAGTTGTTACTCGGAGCACAAAACATAAATCCACTCACAATACCACAAAAGCATGTACAAATGATTGGAAAGTGGTTACCTCTCGCCTGAGCAAGGAATAACAAACCGACAATACGACCCCGTGCACCAACAAGGCTCACAACTGGTCTACAAAAGCACACAAGCACACAACCGGTTTACACAAGCACACAAGCACACAACCATCATGTATTAGCTTTCAACTAATAATATGGCCAAAACAACAATTGGGGACACAAAATTCCTATCTCCAACCAAAACTCTACCTAACTCAAAAGGGTTTAACCACCAAGGCAATACTTCAAGGTCATAAAAATCCATTAAAACCTTAATTCCTCTCCAAATATCAATTTAGGATTCAAACCTCAAGGACCCACTATAGGAATTTAACACCTAAACATCCCATTAGAACAATTGAAGTCCTAATAACATTCTAAACCGATTAAACATCCAATTTAACCCTCCTTAACATAACCCAATTCACAAAACTCAAAATCAATCTCCACAGTATCATCCTCAATCACAAACCTCCCATTTCCATAAACCCTAATTTCAAAAACTCAAAGTTCTTCAAATCCAAGAGAACTACACTGATTAAATACTTAGACTAACTCGAAGCAATCAATTAAACTCAAAACAATCGGTCAAAAACCTCAATTCCATAACAACCTAGAAAACTCTAGGGTTTCACCATAAATCCTCATAAATTCCAAGAAAGAAAGTAGATTAGAGGTTAAAATCACTTACTTGAGGTAATGGATCCTTAGAAACACCTTTCCCCAGCCACAACACCAAAACCCTAGCAGAGCTTCTCTCTCCTCCTTCAGATTTTCTAATTTTCGCAGAACCAAACCCTCCCGCGACTATATCGATTCGACACCTTTTGCCATGGCGAACTAATCCCGAGAGGGATTACTCACCTGAAAACCTGACTTCGTCGCGGCAAACTCTAATCTTCGCCGCGGCGAAAGCTTCCCAAGAGGAAACTCTCGCTCACCCAGAAAACCTTCACCGCGGCGAGACCTTCCCGAGAGGGAAACCTCGCTCACCTGAACAACTTCGCCGCGGCGTCACTCTGATTTCGCCGCGACCAAACCTTCCCGAAAAGACATTCCCCCTGGAACTCCCAGTTCGCCGCAGCGAACAAAACCTGAGAGGGATTGTTCACCTATTCCTCTAACATACCTCAATTCCAACCCAAACACCAAGATCGAGGTTAAATCACTAATCTATCCTCAAAATCAACCAAAAAGAGGTTATTAAAACCTGATAAAACTCAGGACGTTACAATTCTCACTCTAAATTTTAATTTCAATTTGGTCCCTTGGTCCTGCAGTGAAATTTCAGAAAGTTTTGGTCCTTGACTGATATAAATTGCCTTCTGCTGTCCTTCACTGAAATTTTCCCAAGACTTTATGTGTGTGTGGTTGTGTACGTGGTGTGAGTCTAGTACAAATTTTTGCACAAGTAATAAATCTGGCTTTGAAAATTTTGTGACATTAATACAAGATTAATAGACGTGAGGCTATGGGCATAAACTCTAAAAATTACATAGTTCATAACTTTAGGCAAAAAAAAGGGCTTTCTATATATTTATATGATTTATGATTCTCTTAAAAAAATTGATCTTAACTATAATTCTCTACGCTAAAATTAAATAGAGTAGATTCCATCAATATATTTGAATGTATGTGTTGGAGATATGTTATGTAATATTGGTTAGTTAATATCAAAATTAACTGGTTAAGATTATAATGAGTTAGTTGGTTGGTTAATCATTTAGGGTTTTATGTAAAGAGAGCCCTGGTTATAGGTTAGGTGTGAAAGACAGTTAAATTCTCACCAAAGAGGAACGTTAACATATGTTAAAAATGTTATGTATCTTTCATAATGTAAGTTATTTTGTCTAAAATATTAACTTTTTCTATCTACTATTTCTTAATTAGTAATTAATTAAACTCCTCTAACCAATACTCCATTCAGTCCTATATATATGAGTTACAACCAACCAAATCACCTAGATCAAAATATCGGTTAAAATTAATTAAAAGCAATAAAAGTGCATGTAAAATATGTAATTTTTTTAACAAATGTACCATTATTCATGGAGAGAGTACATGAGAGAATATGTGTAATAATTTATTGAAGGAGAGAAAATATGTGATAATCAATGTACTCATGTTAATTTTCTAAAATGTCCCTATTGATTGTAAGGGATTCTCATCAAAGAATAATTATAATCATCCAATGCACACATTTGAAGAAGATAATTTAGAATTACCAATACATATTTGTGACAAATAACCAACTTAGTCAATTTTATTAATATCTCCAAATTAATTATATAACTCTTATATTAAGAACCGGAAGTAGTACAACATAATATGTTTGGTGGGAGCAGGGTCACCTAATTGCTAAAGTCAAGCCTCCTTTATAATATCTTATCCACACATGTTTTGAACAATTCATCACAACTTAACAATCCATTTATATTCTTATACAAAGCACTACAGCCTTTATGACCCCTGGATGGAATCATCAAAACTCATTCCCACTGTTCCTGGAATGATTCCAATTATCTTCTTCATAGCCATCAGCTTCATCAGATCAGGTACTTCTCAAGAGGAACCGTACTACGTTGGAGATGACTGTCAAAACAAAAGCCCACAAGCTCTTACTGCCTCCTACAAAGCCAACCTTAATCAGTTACTCTCAGGGCTGTCCAACGATGCTTCCATAAGCAAATACAGCAAGATCACCATCGGAAACACCACTAACACCACCGTGTATGGTCGTTACAGCTGCCGTGATGATGTTGCTGGATCCTTCTGCCAGTTCTGTGTTACTACTGCTACCAGAGAGGTTCTCCAACGTTGCCCAAATCAATCTTCTGCCATAATATGGTATCGATCTTGTGTATTAAGCACGCCTATGTTCGAGTTCGAGTTTACTGTAATGTGCTCATAACCGCTTTGAATTTTGCTTTTTCTTCTAGGATTTGAAATTATATTTTAGTAAATCAACCATAATTTAAAAATAATCTAGATAATTTGCCTATACATCTTATTTGGTTTTTAAGATATGAAACTTTTGTTTCATAATTGGAACTTTCTGGTAAATTTAATTGAGAAATTATTTTTATATTCTACTGTCAACTGTTTTATTCTTTATGGTATTTTAATTAAATATGAGCAATTCAAATTATATATGTATTCAAGATTTAAGCATTATTATTTACTAGGGAGAATTTCATTTAGCCCCGTTATGGGAAAGTTATTTCAAAATGCCCTAATATAATTAATTTTGAAATTTCACAACGCCCATTTGGGGTAAAGTGAAATTAATTCCTAGCGTTAAGTGAAAAGACAATAATAACTTTCCAAAGAGAGAGAATTTACAATATATGAGTTTTCAAAAAAAAAAAAAATCGGCCATTTGCAATAGAAATAAGGGCAATAATTTCTTTTCAATCACAAAATTTAATTTCATTTCAGTTTTTGGCGGTGTGGTGAAATTTAAGATTTTTTTTGGGCAAGTGGAAATTAAGTATACCTATGGAGAGGGCTAATTGAAAATTTTCCTGTTTTTTAAGCGATGAGTTGTCAACATTCGTTGTTAGTTGATGAGAATCATTTGTGAAATTATAGCGTGAACAAGAAGGCCGGTTTGTTTTCTGGTTTTAAGAATAATTTTTTGTGTTCTGAAAAAACAAAAAAATTGTTAACTGTGTTTTCAGTTATATGTTTTGAAAAAAAAAACATTACAATTTGTGCTGAAGAAAAAATCAGAATATCCATGTAAATGTTTTGTTACCTTTTGTTCTACACGTTTAAAAAATAAGCAGAGAAATATATGGTTTCATTAAAGATAATCATGTAAATATACAAAATCACTCTTTCATTCTTCATTTGAGTAATTTATATGTGTTTTCCAAAATAATGATTCAAACACATTCTTTTTTAATTATTATTTTCAAAACTTATTAAAAAGTTACGCTTCAAAATTATTTAAGAACATGAAAGCAACAATAGAGTCGAACAAGCAGTTGCCCTCCATTTTCCACTCTCACCTCATCCCTCCAACTGCAACATAGGTACAGTTACTGCATGCTGCGATACTCTAATGAGAACCTTTTTGGGAAGGTGGAGATAAGCCCGTCATGGTCCTCGGAAGGAACGAAGAAGGCGTCGGATCCAGCAGAGGGGAAGAAGGCCGAGAGTTACATAAGGAGCCTGATCAGAGAAGCAACGGAGGAGACAAAGAGATGGAGTGCATGGGGAAAGTTTAACTTAGGTGGTGGAATGAAAAGGTATGCGTTGGTACAGTGCAGTGAAGAAATTAGCAATAAGGGTTGCCAGCAGTGTTTGGAAGCTATGTTGAATAAGGCAATTCAATGTTGTGAGCAGAAGCAAGATTGGCAAGTGGGAACGCCAACCTGTTTGATTAAGTACGCTAATTACATGTTTTGCCAGTCACCATCTCCTCACAATCCTACCAAAGTTACGATAGTGAGATGAACATAACTTTCATTTTTGGAGAATGGGACTTTAAGACCAAAATTACAATTTAAAATTTCAGCCTAAAGCAGAAAATTTTTCATGCAATTTCAATAATTTCTTCTTCTATAATTGTCTTCCAAAATTTAATTAATGGGAGGAAAACAAAAATGAAGAATTGATATGAAGTTCTAAGAAAAAAAACATAATCACTAGATTTTTTTAATATAAGTAATAAACTTATGTGGTTGTGTGGTGTGATGAGTTTAATATACAAATTCTTCACATAACAAATTTGGTCTTGAAAATTTTTTTGCGACTTTAATAAAATTTTAATACATGTGATGTGAGATCATGTGAACAAAATCTAAAGATTACATTGCTCATAACTATAGCGGACAAATTTATATAGAAATTGATACAATTTTCTAAGCTAAAATTAAATAGACTATATTGTATCAATATAGTTGAATGTTTGTGTTAGAGATATGTTAATATAATCTTGGTTAGTAAAGATTACAATTAATTGGTTAAGATCATAATCAGTTAACTAACTGGTTTGTGATTTAGGATTCTATGTAAAGAGGATTCTAGTTATAGATTAGGCATGAAGGAAAGTTAAATCCTCTGCAAAGAAGAAGGTTAACATAAATCTCACTCATGTAAACATTTCTTAAAGATTAAAAATATACTTCTTAAATTTAAGGGACCAAAACAAAGCATTCTCTTAAAGGACCAATTATATACTTTAGTCCATAGAAATTTTATTTAGTTTATCTTTTGTTTCCTTGTTCTATTCTTTAAGGTTCAATATACATCAACATATATAGCAAACAATCTTGTGCTAATTTGTCAATTTTACAGCCAATAATAGAGTTAGCAAGTCGAAAGCCTTGATTATAAGCACAAGTGTATTAGTGACTGTGGCAGTACTAAGTTTTTTTTCCTACCTCTTCAAGCGAAGCAAGAGTAGAAAAGGTATTCTCCCTATATATGTGGATTATGATTCAATATATATGGCATATGAATTCTCAATCGAATTATATCGATAATGTCTTTCATGGTTTATATTAATTCCCATACCACACTAAGTACACTGGTATTTTACCAAAATTCTTGAAGATCTCACCTACAAATACGCTTGTACAATTTAAAATATGACTTTACATACCTGTCTTGCAGATGAAACACGGTTGGAGAGCACTCCTACAGCTTATGACCTTTCTCAGAGCCAGTTCACTAAATAAAGACCTTCCCACAATCCCTTTGCTTGCCATTCAACAGAGCACTCGTCACTTTTCAGAAGATTCTAAATTAGGAGAAGGTGGATTTGGTCCTGTTTATAAGGTACTAATATATTTGATTTGGAATTTTTTTGGTTATCAAATGGTTTGATTATTTGCTTTTCCTAAATGTTTAATTTAAAAATTAAAATGACTTCCTAGCTTAAATTTACAGTTGACATCTTAAAATAGCGAACAATTTTAGTTCAGCCTTTATTGTTGAACTTATATGAACATCTAAATGATACTAATGTGGTAAAAAAAAAAAAACACAAATAATGGTTTTCTGTGCTTGTCTGTTCGTGAGAGTTTTTTTTTTTTTTTCTTGGTGATTAGTGAGCATAATGTTTCACACTACTTTGATGGTCTTCTAGTCTCATGAGCTATAAATTAATCGGCTTATTAAGGAATTTGCTTAATGTAGTTTTATGGAGTATTTGATTCTTGTTACATTAAGTTAGGATGTCTAAATATGTGTAGACATAAATTGATGTAGATTGCCACAACCCAAAATTTGAGCCATTACTGGCATATATGCTAAGCCAACAAAATATTATTTATCATAGCCAACTAGAAACAAAGCCCAATTGCCACAGCAATACAATCTAATAACAATATAATAAAGTTTAAAGGAATTTGCTTCTCTATGAAAACATAATCATAGTTTGATGTTTTATAAAGTACCAAACTCATCAAAACAAAATAGTCAACACCAATAAACTATAAATCAAAAGAAAATCAATCAAACAAAGTTTCACATCTCTTTCAAACCAACATGACATTAATTATGACATACTAGCTAGCTCATCCATAGTAATCACAAACACCATGGGATCCTACGTTATTTTTTCCTTGTAATTTCATGAAGTATTTGATTCTCATTACATTTTTTTTTTTTTTGAGATTTTAGGATTGGAGTTTTAGGGGGTTAATCTGAATTGAGATGTGAGAACAAGGAAGAATCACTACTACAAAAAAAACATTTAACGGTGGTTAAAATGAGCTTTTCATTAAGGTTTGGAGAGCGACGTCTATGCCGTCGACAGAAAATATAGAGGATTTTATGACGATTTAAGAACTACTGTGGTATGTGACTTTTCAAGTAGTTATTCGTGAAAAGTTTTTTTTTTTTTTAGTTTACCTTTCATCCTATTGATTAGGATGGAATAGGGGAACAAAGTCTCAAAAGAAAGGGTTTGAGAATCAATCAACCAATAACCTGTCACCAGTCAAAAGCATTCTGATGAAGCAAACGTACATTCTTTCCCACTATAATAGCACCCTTTAGCTTTGCCTTCAACCACCAGATCTAAGCCACTAAGATTTAATAAAGGTAAAGTCAAAGACTCAGATCTGATAAAATTTATGAATTTCAAGCTGTCAAACTCTAATCTATAAAATGAGGGAGAGAGAAATCAGATCTATTCAAGCTTTCAAGTATCAAAGTATGTTTAAGTAAGGAGAGGAACAAAAATTAGATCTATTTAAACTCAAAACAAACATCATATTTTTAATCAAAGAAAATAAGCAAAGCAACCAAAATATGAAACCCACAGAAAGAATGGAGGAGAAAGGGCAAAAAAACTCACAAATAAGAATGAAGAATATGACGCAATGGTGACGATGATAGTAACAATGACAACAACGATGATGGAAGAGCATGGCGGAGACAATAGAAGCAAAGGAGAAACACCAGCAAAGGCATGAGAAGGGAGAAAATCGAGTGGGGACCGTAATGGGAGACCATGAGCTCTGACTATAAAAAGTGAAAACTATCACGCGATGGAGAGGATTTTAAAATTTGATAGACTTTTTTTATGATGATTTTTTAAAAAAATCGGCATAAAAAGTAAAATTTACTTCCCTATAATTACAAAAACATCACCGTCATTTTTTTACAGCATTTTTTCTAATGACCGCTGTAAATTAACATCATGAAAACTCTTTTTTGTGGTAGTAAATTAAGGTAAGTTAGGGTGCTAGCTAGTGGTGAAATTGATTATAGAGAAGAATTTGAATAGAATCACTTCCTTAATTTGTAAGGAATAGAATTTGAATGAAAGGCATTGTTGATTTTGTAATGCTTGCTCAATGTTCAATGAAGAAAGGTGTTTTCTAGAAATAAGGAATTTGACTTGAGATAAACATGACAATAATCCTACATATATACTTGAGATCAATACAACTCTTTTTCTCCTATACTCCCTTAAATTGTGCATTAAGTTGAAAGTTTAAGCATCATTTGGAAACATTTTGACAAGCAAATATTGGAGGCACACTTAAAAAAATCCAATTAACGACAAAAAATGTAATTTCTATTTCACTAACTAATTAGCAATGCAATTTCGTCTCCATATTAATTAAGGCTTGATCAAATTGAGTTGAGTTGATGGGCAAGGTCAATGAAAAACAAACTTGAGTCAAATTTTAAAAACTAATTCAAGCAAGCATACTAGTAAACTTGAGCCATCAATTAAGTCTTCTTGCAAGCAATTTTAATAATAGAAGGAAAACATTTGTCCGTTTTGAAATGATAAAGAACCTTCATTATTGAAGAAGTGTTGATAAATGTCAATTAATTTTGGTTATACATGATGGTTGTTAACTGAAACATCCTTCCTTTAATCCCTCAGAGTACGTGTTTAGAAGCGTTACAATTCAAGTGATTCACGAAATAAGCTCACAAATTGAAAATTTGCTATTGGTTTTCAGGTTACTATTCACTAGTTAAATTCCAGATTTTTGGTCTAATTTGAAAAATTTATAACTAATAATAGAAAAATCGTATTAAGGTGGTTCAAAATTCTATTTGAAGATCCTTCAATTCTCTACAGGGAAAAAAATATAAAACTGGACTTAACCCTTGTCAATTTGTACAGTTTATTTATTGAAGTTTACTGTTTATTTAGTAAATTCTGAAACTTCCAGATTCTATGTCTCAAATTTAGAAATTCATATCTCCTTGGTTCAAAATTCCAGATTTTTGGTCCAACTTGAAAAATTCATAACTAATAATAGAAAAATCGTATTAAGGTGGTTCAAAATTGTATTTGAAGATCTTTCAATTCTCTACAGGGAAAAAAATATAAAACTGGACTTAACTCTTACCAATTTGTACAGTTTATTTATTGAAGTTTCCTATTCATTTGGTAAATTTTGGAACTTCCAGATTCTATGCCTCAAATTTGGAAATTCATATCTCCTTATGTACACATCCAATTGAGGTTTTTTACATCTCATTTTAAAGCTTAGGAGGTGTACAACACATTTGCCAAATTTCATTGCTTAACTCATTCATTTGATAGGTCAAACTGAAGTTGGAGTTGACTGCTCCAGGACCTACGTTTTATCCATTAGACAATTCTTTTTTTAATTCTTTTTATTGTTTTGGCATGCATAACTTGGCCTTCATGTCATAAACATTCTAAACAAATACATTATAATTTACATAATAGGAGAATTATACATAAATCCTTAACCAATCGTTAACATGAATAATTCTCAACTTTCTTCTCCTTCCTTCTCATGCTCTCCTTCATGCAATCATTGTACATCATTGATCGGCCTAAATGGTTGGTTAGGAAGGGGTGAGATTCGGGAGAATCTCAGTAGCAAAAAATAACCACCCAAACATACATGGCAAGCTTGGCATTCATAACATGCTTACAACTTAACATCTTTATAATATAATTACATGTTTGGAAATCATCATACATTTATCATAAAACACATAGGCCTATGGCATATTTCAAACATATTCACAATCTCAATGCATGAGTTCATAAAATCATATAAACATAGAAACATGTCATACATGCAAGCAAATACCAAACACATAAAAAGTAGGGTAAAGTTTGCTACCTTGCACTATAAGTTCTCTCTTGTTCTTCAACTTGCTCCCTAAGCTTCCCAACCATCTAGCTTTCAGTCAACCACATCTAAACCTTCTTTTGGATATCTCAAGGTCCTAATCATAGCCACAAGGCTCACATTACTCACTAGGACCAAGAACTACACAATGTGGAAGACTTATGCCCTTTAACTTAATCTTTTTTCCTTAATTTATAATGTAGTGTTCTAGCTTTGTAAAAATTGTTCCCTTAGGCCAATCCTACACAATTTTGCCCAAGAAATCCAAATATGAGCTTAGATTCATCAAAGTCCAACTCCTTCCCCTAGTTCTAGGCTAAAACTGAAGTTTGCCACTTAAGTTTCAATTTTGATTCCAATGCTTCCAACTTCACTCTTTCATTTTTGTTCCTGCACAATTTTTCATTTTAAACACATTGGAAGCATTAAAATCATCAAAATCACATCCTAGGCACAAGAACCAGTTAGGCCGTGGCATCCTCTTTGGTTCCAAAGTTATGGAATTCAATTAATACAAAGCTAGAACTACTTGATTCTTGTTCCTTTCAAGCCTTTAAGCATTAATTTAACCTCAATTTCATCTCCCCTCACACTTAACAATTTCTTGCAGCATGCCCCCAAGGGTTTCAAGCTCTCAAAAACCATTAAAATCCATAACCAAGCTCAGTAATAACAAGGGTAGTGAAAACTACATCAAAAACCATGAACATACCTTGTTTTGGAGCTTGATCTTGCATATGACCACTTGGCCTTTCTCTCTCCCTCTTCTTTCTCTTTCTAGAATCTATTTTGCAAGAGTTTTCCCATGGTTCCCTTGAGCTTGGACGAATAAGGGGGAGGGGAGGCGGTATTTATAGAAAACAAGACTAAATCTGGGCCCTTGATCTTGAAAATATGTGGCTTAATCTTGACCGTCCATTTTCCTCTTTGTCTTATGGTGACAAGTGTCTTTATGACATCATGCTTACATCATCTTGATAACGTCATGCTTACATCATCAATCCACATGTCTTTAATCCACCTGTACACGTGTCTTGTATCCAACCGTACAAGTGTCATTCATCTAGCCATACACTTGTCTCTTCCATGTCCTTTCATCATTATAGCATTAAGATAGGAAAAAATTAATATAAAATTCATGCAAAAGTATTTCTGCACCTATCTTGCTATTCTGCACCATATCGGGTAGTTTTT